GGCCATCAACGGCGGGCAGAACAACAATTAACTGCTATTAAAGCTGCAGACTCAGAAAAAAAAATGAAATTAGTTTCGGTTAGTTGCAATTTACGCATAGACGCTTTTTCCATGCAATTAAAATCGGCGCATAAATGCGAATTTGTAAACGCCATTAATGTTTAATTCTTGGTAAATGCTTGCCAACCAGCGTTGGCCAAAGAGAAACAAAACGTAATAAAAACAGAAAGCCAATAAAAAATGTGCGCATTCATAAATAAGTCGAAAAAATACAGTGGCACATGTGCTTACAGACTGAATGGGTTCACAAATCTGTAGACAAATAAAAAATGGTTAAAAAAGGTTGGAAGGTGTAAAAGCGGGGTAGCTAAATTCCCTAGAGTGACGCTTAAATTCCCTTAAAGTCCAGTGGTTTCTGAATAAATATTCATATACAAAATTATTAAAAATTTGTATGAGATCAGAATCTGATATCACACACTTTTTCTTTATTCAAAAACAATAAAGTGTGAAATATACATATTTCGCAAGTAAAGTAAAACATTTATTTATTCTTAGAAAAAAGTACTCAAACTATATTTGCAGAATTTAAGCAGAGCGATCGTTTGCTGTTTTTCATACATATTTCGAATCATGTTCTTTCCGAGAAATCAGACTTCGAACTGATACTTAGGAACCATATTCCCTGATATATTGAGCTGTATTTCATCTATGAAATCTGTTTAATATGCATATATGCCGATGCCTATTTCCATGCCGTATAATCATTATGTCAGATCGCATTCCGTTGGAAGTTTTCAGTAGGAAATTAAATGCAATTTAGCGAGGACTTAAACGCCGGACGGCTCTTTATGTTAACTTCACCTGCCAGTGTATCTGTGTCGGTGTATCTGTGTGGTGTGGATGGGAGTATGGATGTGAGAGAGTTTCAATTTAAGCGCTGCGGCATTTTCCGTTTGTTGGCATTTCCTGGTGGGAACAAGGAGGGTGTACGTGTGTGAGTGTGTGTGAGGTGGGAATTAATTATGCAGGCATATCATGGCTACTCCCCTCTCTTTCCCCAAAGCACCCTCTCACACTCACACACACAGACACACTCAAACAGTTGCATCCTTTCCGTGTGCGGTTTTAATTTGTGAGCCCGTGCCCGTGCATTTTGCCTGATCCTTTTCCTTTCCGCTGTTTGCCATTGCAATTTCCCCCTCCCATTGCCACTGCCATCACCACGCCCAACCGTCCCTTGGCCACGCCCACTAGCCACCCATCGCTTGTTGCTATCTGGGAAAATTCTTATTTTTTTGTGCTTGTTTCTCTGCCTCTGCGTTGTTTGCATTTCCGTGTGATTTCACTTGGCTGGCAGAAATCGATGAATGGCGCGATTTGGGAGAGGGACTCCTCGAGAAAAGCACTTTAAGGTCCAGAATCCATTCGGGAATTATCAACCACCCAGAGCCACCATTCATTGCAGTTTTAATTGATTTCATTTAGCTGGTTCTTGCTTTATCACCGATTGCCACTCACTCGCTTAGTGCTGCCATGTTTTGTTAGCCAAATAAAAGCTAGAACTAAGGTAATCAACATTACTGAAAATGATGACATATGTATGTTCATTTTAAAATATTATTTTCTGTGTGCATTGATTGCATTGCAATATTCTTGATATATTCATAATCGTTAACAATTCACTGACTGTATGGCAATAGCTCTGATCTACTGGGACTGTACTGTACTTGTTATAGATAACAATGTTATATTTACTTTTAAGAAAAATTGAAATTACTGAACATGCCAACCTCATTTAACTCCCTAATCAAAAACAGGAAACGTTTCTTACTAATAAGATATAAAATAATATAAAATGGTAAAAAGCCAATTAACACTACGCTGAGCCATCCGCATCCGGTTTTACCCTCGTTAGGCATCACTTCGATAAAAAGATTGTACGAAGATTTTAGAGCGAGAAATAGTGACAAAGTTCTCTTGACAGGTCCTCTGTTTTTTTGGCAGCTCGATTGATGTTTCCGGACAAGTTTCTTAGCAATGGTAAAAGCCCTAGAAACTCCATGAAGATTAATTTGCGTTTGGTATTTCCTTATATGTTGGTTTTTCGATCGTGAGACATCAGCTCGATAAGCGAATTTATCATAAAGCACGGAATAGTGAACATGTTCATTTGACAGGTCATCTGTTTTCGGAAGAACAGTTACTTAGCTCGGAAATATAAAATTTTCTGTTTAAATGATTTCTAATTATAGTTAAAAAATATTTCACGAAATATAATTTTAATCATTGGATAAGGCCCCTTCAACGTGTTACTCATTTTTTCCAGGCATTTTCTATCAAAGCGAAAATTAGCTATAAATAGCTGAAACGGCAGAGCTGCAAAGTTGAAACTAAATGAGCTTATCTCCGCAGCGGTTGCGTCGTCCACCGTTAGGTGGCGCTATCATCCTCGTTAGCCCTTCTGGGTGCACTCCACTTATAAATTCTATAAATTTTAGATCATAATGTGACCAGCACCCATCCCGTCGTGCGTCTGTGTTTGTGTCTGTGGGAAAATTACATCTGTGTTACGGTGCAGGTGGGTGGCAAGTGGGTCAACCGGCGACCTAGTATTTGTTATGCATTTTCATTAGTACAAACTTTTCGGCTCAGACGCTGTCATTAGCACAAAATTGGCTTCCCGAATGGGTTCACAGCTTGCAATCGGCAAAGTTTATAAAGAGTAATCAGAGGCTTTAGTTAATAAGGGGACTTTTGAAATTTAATGGGAAAAACACAGTCTTATAAGTAATTTTGATTCTTGATTATAATTTTTTTTTCAGTTAGAAGCTCTGAGTAATACGCCCATGCCTAAAGAAGTGACAAATTAGTTCCTGGGAATACCATGAAGTCAATTTCCAGTTTTTATATATAAAAGTAAGTTCGAATTTCTTCAGGGACTTGTTATCTGAAATAAAGTTGTACCTTTAACAGTTGCAGAAAAACCAACAACTTTTTAATGCCACTAATAACATATTATGTATACTAACAATATTAACTGTGCTTGTTATCTAGCCCCAACTTTGATAATTAATAACAATAATAATAACAATAACAATAATAAAATCTGCGACTTTGCCAATAAATAAATATTTGAATGTCTTTTGAGCCAATAATTACCATTGCTTTTTGCAGAGACTCATTAGGTGTCATTTTTCACTTTCCCCGCCTGACTTTCCCTGGGCTGTGCTCGTTAAGCCGATTCCTTTAGCTCCAGCCTGCTAATTAACAACACTTGGGCCATTCCAGAAACCACCTTTGATAGTGAAAATCATACATTTTTTTTCATATTTTTGTTCACTTTCATATTTATTTGGATTTTTGCATAGTAATAATATGTTTCATTTATTAGTATTGGTTTGTTTTTCAGCTTAACGCTTACATTCGTTTTTATACATTAAAATTTATGCTAAAAGTTGTAAATAAAATCATTTTGAAATGTAATCTTTCGTATATTCTGCTTGGTATCTTGCGGTAGCTTCTATTAACAATTACACAGATTTATTGAAATATTCATGTCACATTCAACGTCGCATCGAGATTGCTTTTCCTATATATGCGTATGCCTCTTCGAAAGTGGAGTGCTTGCTATCTTTAATAAATATTTTACGTTGAGCAAGTTGATTGCCCACAAATCATGTGGCAGACATCTAATAACGTAGGGTAAATAGAAACGAGGCACAGGTCATTAAACGGCTTTTGGTGTCTGGCTAAATGGTAATTGGTATTGGTAAATGGTAAATAAATTCACAATAATTAAAGCCCCAAATTCCGTTTGAAATTAATAATTGAGCTCATCGATTGCCATCAGGCGAATGTCATTAATATGCAAATGGGATATGCAATCCGTGAAATATTTCCTTCTCTCTGTCGGTAATCATTTTGTGCCAAGAGGATTTATATTGGGTGCCGCTTAAATGTAGGTTTTATCTAAAATATATATACAGTGCTTGGTGCGGGAACTATGTATTTAACTTAAGCTTAAGCCTGTGCACGATGCAAATGAAAATGATGATGAAATTTTGTTTAAAATCGAAGATATCCTAAGTTTAGTTTAGTCACTATCAAATGCAGGAAGTAAGCGAGAGAGAGAGTTTGTGGGCTAGTTTACGTTTACACATTTATCTCGCTAGATTTATGGATTAGTTTCTATATGTTGTGGTTAACCGCTTAAATGCCTTTTGTCCTAGTGATTTCGATGGCGGAATTTACATTCGATTAAACAACATTCGTGGCCGTAGAAAAGATTAAATTAAAATTTGACTAGAAATTAAATATGAAAATGTAATTTTGTTTTGCATTTTCCGGGGATTGGTTTGTTTGATTTGTGTTAAAACTTAGCTTAAAATAACATGAATAATATATTGGCTCGTATATAGGTAATGTATATATTTAATTTTAATTTGTAATTTGTAATTTGTAATTTGTAAGTTTAATGATTTGTTTTCGTTTTCGTGTGTTTATTATAATTAAATAACATAACATTAGTCAATTAAAACTAAAAACGCAGTCAATTTATATATTTGGAATTTCATTTAGCATACGCATTAAATACACATTAATCATTCTGGCTTACTTTGTGGTTCTTGGATACTGAAACATCTATGAACATTGCTACAGTTCGTATTGTTTAATATGCTTTTCATTTTGAGTAGAACATGCGCAAAAAAAGTCTTATTTCCTTTTGCTAAATACTCGTTTATCGATCTGCTCGAGTGACGGTTGCTGCTATCTTAAATGGCCTATCGGATCGAGGAAAAACAGTGTTGTGGTCTCAATACACCTAATACACAATCCACTGATATACATTATTAGTATGTGTATCTAAGGCTGGGTGGGTTGTTCAGGAAGTAAAAGATACATCTTAACTGAGCTGACTGATCTTTTGAAGTTGAGTTTTGATTCTAAGGTGATGGAAACTCAAACAAAGTTGACACATTGCTTCATCTCCAATTTTTGATTATCAGCCAGATCTATCAACATTAGAGCAGACTTGCCCATGTTGGACTTCTCATTTGTTAAGGAACACCTAAAACTTCCTTCTAATCGACCCAACCTAGTGTATAAATAGATTTCATTTCGTTTTACTTTCGTATGGTTTTGTATAGGATATGCAACTAAATTCACGTCTCTCGTTTTGCCTGTGCTCCTGTCAGGAGAGGTTAACCTTCCTAGTTTTCCCTCTTATCAGCTTTCGTTCCGTTTGCTTCGTACTGCTTATCCGAGTCCGTGGGACAGCCACCTTCCTCCTTCTTGTAGTCACCATAAGTGCAGGTGGGCGTCTTGCAGAAACCATATTTTATGCATCTGTTTTTTGGGGGAATAGGAGAAAGTCAAGATTGGGATTGGCAAAAGTTAGGGTTAATAATGATGTTCCACTCACTTGCGATCCGCCATGTCGAAGTGCTCCTTGCCATTCTTTAGCCATTCGCAGCTGATGTTCCCGGAACTGCAGTCGCACCGACACTGGTCGTCCTTTACGAATATCTCAAAGGTCTTTGGACACGTGCATCTCTCTGCGGCAGCCAGTACCAATGACTGGACATTGTTGGCCATGGCCAGGTCTTCGTTATAGGTCGATCTTTCAATGCAATGGCATTCCGTGTGGTTTACAAAGGTTCGCTTCTCGATGTCGCTTCGATGCCTGCTGCTCTTCACCTGCGGGAAATTGGAAAATGGATAAATCCTTAATTAAATGCCATAAGCTTATCATCCCCAGCCTGATTCACATTCACATTCCCATTCCCATTTGCTTAATTATGCCAGATAACTATTTGCATACGGAGCTGGCATAATTGACCCCCGAACTCCATGACGTGCTGCCAAGCAGAGCATATAGCACATAAACTACAAGCGTATCTGTATATCTTCTTAGCTGGCAGCTGGGAGTTGACAGTTTCCTAAGCTGACTGCTCATCAAACTTGTTGTCATTGTTGCCTTGGCTCGTTGTCGCTCGGTTATTGCCACAGCTCTTGTAATTCTTAAATGAGTTGTCAGTTGTCAGAGCAGCGGCAGCGGCTTAGGTGATTACTGTTTCAAATGTTTCGAAGGGGATTTTGATATCTAATACGACTATTTCTTAGGAATAAAGTCTAAGCCTTATCAGTTCTGCATATATTAAGGCCAGAATTATAACTTAAAATATGCTTAAAGTGCTTAAAAATTGAGAGATACTCGTTTTATCAACATCTTTTGATTGATAATTTTCGTTTGCAAAAAACTGCCTATTTGCTATAATAAACGACCTGCAATAAAATTTAAAATAAACATATTAAATGGCTTTATTAAGAGCTCTATCTAGGGAAACCCCTTTTTATGCGGTCAGACGCCACTGGTCAAGAGCCATTAACAGACCACAAAACTTCTACAGCTGCTTGGGCTTGGGATTGGATTGGTCCCGTGGTCCACTCCACCGCCCCCCCGGTCTCGCCAACCTGGTGGCTGGTCTGTGGTCCACATTTCACCTCCCCCCGTTGTACCCGAAATTGTAAGTCTGGTTGCATGACAAGTGCAAAATGATGAAATGCGTATGAATTGCATAAATTAAGTTGGATTCGTTTAATTAAAATAACAAGTTGGCCATTAATCAAGCCCTGGCCACTCATCCAGTGCAGAGATCTTAGTTGCGCAAGGAAAAGGAGGAAAATTGCCAAAGCAAACAACAAGGAAAATGTCCAAAAAAATTATTGAGAAAATGGGGAGTGCTGCGAAGCATTTGGATTTTGATTGGACGCATCAAGGCAGAAAGAACTAACAAACCCAATAAGTTGACAAAGCACAAAAAAGGGAAAATTCATTTGCTCGTTTCAGGTATTTATGAAAAATGCTTCAAATTGAGTTTTCAGCTGGGTTCGCTGCGGTTCGTGTTGTGTGGTTTTTCGGGCTTGCGGTGTGGCTTTGGCAAATGGAAGTGCTTATGGAAATGCAACTCAACCTGCAGTGAATTGAAAAAGTTTTCTTTCCCGCCCTGAAAGTTTTGTGCTGTTTTTTTTTTTTTTTGTGTTCAGAGAGTGAGAAGGGCACGGAATTCCTTGAGAAGTGCGCCCACTTCTCCTAACAGAAAGCAACAATAATTGCCGGAAACGGAAGTGCCAAGTGCTGGTGTTGTTACTTTACTTTGCCCAAACCACAATTGTGCAAAAAATTGCACTAAAGTGCTTCTTCTGTTTCTCCTGCTCACTAAATATGCAAATCTCAGCCTATACACTGGGAAACAAAAAGAGTTTTTTTTAGTAATTTATGCATTTTTTTATAGAAATGGAAGAATTTTCTTAAAAATCGTTATCTAGCATATCAAAATGTGGCTTGTAAGAGTATAGTTATCAGTTATCTAGGTAAATAATTTAATTTTGTAAACTTCTGAAATAAAATATAACTTAAAAACCTATCAATTTTTATGCAAGTGCATTGGGCTGTATTGTTTATGAGTGCCTTGGGCGGGGGTGGCAGGTGGTTGGGTTACCTTCCAAGATGGCCTCCCTGATTGAGGTTGGGGCTTTATGCATGAAAATGCATTCATAAACCCCTTTTCCCACTGTTTCTCTCAAGAATATGCGTGTGTGTGCTTCAGTGTCCATGTGCTGGTGACCCGAGCAATTAGTCAGTTATTGCTCGGTTTGCCAGGGATTTTCCGAGAGGGAGGCGCTTGGAGATGGGAATTGCAGAAAAGTGCGATTAAGCCAGCCCAGTGGCGTGTAAGCATAAAATGTTTTTCTGAAATTTTCAAGCATTTTTCAGAGGCTTCCTGAGCTGTTGTTTGGACTCAAAACAAGTACAATGGAACAAGACGAGAACTTAATTGAGACGAAAAGAAGGCCAAACGAAGTATTTGCTAGGACTTAGTTGCCTAGGACCTTAGTTGCCTACTTTTGGGGAGGAATTTAAAATCAATGTTTGCCTAAAAATTGTTTCAAAAATTCACCTGAATTGCTAGTTTCTGGGCTTGAGAGTGTCTATCAAAGTGCTCTTTGTTATATTGTTTGCAAAATTTGTTGTAGTTACAGTTCAGAAGCACTTAAGATTCAGCTATCAGAAGTTTTATTAAATTGCTTATTTCGAATATCTTTCATAAGTTTAAAGGTTTTATAAATTTGTATATCAGCTAAGAATATCCTTTTTACTTCCATGCTTCCTGTTAGCGAAACAATGCCTTTTCATTTAAACAAAATTAATTTATTTTCTTAGCGAACTTCAAACTTTGGCCCATGCATTTTTAAAGTTAAGAACTTCTGCAAATATGTAAGAAGTTTATGCAGTTTCAGCAACCCATGGCATTTCTTGTTTCAGCTTCCCATCTCCCCAACATGTTAGTTTTGCATAAATCCAAAGAATGCAGAACTTGCAACTGTCATCAACGTTGCAAGTAAAGTTTCAGCAACCAGGGAGTCATCAAGGGGTAGTTAGATTCTCGATAGGAAGGTGTTAGGGTTACACAGAAAGATTATAAGGTTCTTAATGCCCGATACAAATTGGTATTATCTTTAAGACCCTTTTACCTTTAAAAATACTAAAAAGAAAACAAAGGAACATGTTGAAGGATTTCAAAAGCTGTTAGAAAACCCATCTGTGGTGGGATACCCCAATCCAATGTAGCTGCGGTTCAGAGCATTTCTCATGTATTTTATGGCGCTCACATCAGCGCGGCATTAGAGAAGCTTTTCCCTAACTGCTGTGTGGGATACTGCTGCTTACCTCATGCACCTGTTTCCACCTGTTTACGTGCCAGCAATTTGCATTTTCCACCGCCTTTTGCAGCCAAATCCCCCGCCTTGTGCACACGTGGATGTCTCGCGGCATGGCTAGGGGATTTGAGTTTGGCGAAATTGCATTACGCAGTTCGAAAACTGGAAAAGGAAGTGACACGAGCTTGGGGTCCTTTCACACTTTCACCACGAAAACTTTCAAACATTTTCAAAATCCACCATTTTTACTCCATAACCGGGCTTTGCCCGCTTGCAGTTTAACTCATCCCCAGCTTATTATGCACTCGCCTTGAGCTGGCCACATTTTGTGGCAAATTAATTAAATCAACCAAGTTCAGTTTGGCTGGGTATATGGATGTTTATGCAGAGAAAAAAACGGGGGAGGATCTAAGTGGAATGTGGCTAAAGGAATATTAAAAACTTAATTCTAAAATCAAAGTAATTAAAATGAATAATTTGACAAGATTGATCTACTTTCCTCAGTAATATTTTGATATCATTATATAGGATCCTTCTTACTTGAAAAAGTAAGTAATTATTTTTTATCGTACTGAGGACTTCCACACATAGATGTCGGGTATATGAAGTTGGCCATGGAGTTGGCCATTTGCCTGTCAGCCAATTGACTTTTACTTTGGCTTTGGTTTGCTAAACAAGCAAAAGTTTGGCCTGGTGTATGTGTGTGTTTTTATTATTGCTGCTCGTGGGCGTTGGCTTTCACGTTTAGAGGAGGCCTTTGATTTCTGCCTTGGCTCTTCTAGCCACCGACTCCTCTGCCACCCCCATCCATGCTCCTTTTGCGACTTGGGTGAAAGTGGAGGCCATTGAACCCGAAAAAAGAGAATCCAGGAGGCGAAGAAAGGAGAGGAGACCGCCTCATAAATCTCACAATGCTTACAACATGTGCCGGAGTTTGTTATGGTGTGTTTTGGTAGGGTCTGGCAGAGGGAGGGAGGGAGGTAAGGCCATTGCCCTTTACAGACTGGCAGAATGCAGAATGCTGAATAACCCACTCCACAGACCCTTCCTTTCCCTCCCAGAAACCTTCAACCGAATGCAAAATTTGCGCAACATAAATTATGTTTTGTTAAAATGTTTACGCTTTTTTTATCGTGCTGCTGCTGTTGTTGGTTGCATCCTCAGCCTGGTTATCGCTCCTTAGCTCACCCACACCTCCGCCTATATATCCACTTTCTACACAGAGAAGAAAAAGCAGCAAGTTGTAGGCGTCTTAATGTACGTTCTGTTCTCTTCTGTGCACCACAGCTATGGTCGAAAACGAACTGTTCGTTAGTTCTCTATCTTACTCTATCCTAGACATTGGCTGATCGTACGAACAGGACACACAGTGTTTATCATTATGGAAGAGTAAGGGAGAGGAATACATTGTGCTTACGACTAAGGGTGTATAGATAAGAAATCAAAATTCAATATTTGTTGCGGTTTTTTAGCTCTAACTTTGTCAAAACAAGCCGTACAGCTGAAACAATGACTGTTTTGTGCAGCTAACTACCGAAGCTTAAAACTTTTATCATTATTGCTCTGATTTTTTGATGCGAGCTCTAATTTAAGGAGTAAAAAATCGGGAAACCCATTTTTAACAGAAATTTGCAATATATTTTCGGGTTTTTAGCTCTATCTCGGTCAATACAAGACGCACAGCCAAAAGAACTACTGTTTTGTGCTGCTAACGACCAATACTAACCACCCCTATCACTGGTTTTTCGATTTTGGGAAAGTCAATTTTGGCCCAAATTTCGCATTTTTGATAAGGGGTACCATCATCAAAATTTTCAAAAATGGGCCAAAAATGAAGTTTCCCAGATTTGCATGCAAACCAATTGGGAATCATGGCAATCAAGTTACGAACCCTACGAGGTATTACATTCCTAGTTTGGGCCATTTTTGGCTGTGTTATGGCCAGAAAACTGATTTTTTTTGCGCCCAAAATAACGTATACGTCGGGTGACAGCAGAGAGGCCGGCTTTTTTGCCGTTTCTTAGCTCTAACTTTGTGAAAACAAGCCGCATCTTCTTTTTACATTAGTGTACTTTACTTATAAAAAAACTATATAAATTATTTATTTAAATCCCTGATATCTTCATATTTTCTCTCAGTGCAGCACCTCCTTTGCAGCTCTCCAGCTGTGTATGTGTGTGTCTCTGCGTGTGTTTGCCTGCCACTTGACACCTCTCAATGACAAACCGCTGAGTTGCTCCCTCCTGGCAGATTCTCTTCAAGCTGCCTGCCTCATCTGCAGACTGTCCTGCTTCTTCTTCCTGTTCTTTTTCTTCTTCTTCTTCTTCATTTTTAGTGGCTGATATTCTTTTTTTTCATGCTAACATATATGTGTTTTTAAGCTTTAGTGCTACCAACAGCTTTGAACACATAGCTTCAGCTTCAGCTTCAGTTTCCTGTTTTTCCCCTGGCCAGAAACATTTTTTGTGCCCTACTTGAAGGATGGCTCAAGGAGGGAAAACTGAGGGAAAAGTGTGTGAAAATAGAGAGGAAATGGGAGGGCGAGAAGCCAACAATGATGGACACAAGAGTTCCTTGGGGCCATACACTATGCTGCCGGCTGATTCCACTGAGCATGTCATGAAGTTTGTTCCTGCCAAAAAAGAACAAATTTATGTTGGGGATTTTCCCCTGGAACTATTTGCATATTAAAACTGGCCTTAAAGCCGGCTTACTACATCAAGAATGTAGGAAAATAAATGTTTTTTCTTTTTGTAGGAGATTTCCCAAAAGAAGGTAATACTCCGTGTTACATTGGCCTTAAACAACCGCATATTAAACTCACCCATAACTTCCTTAGTAACTCCCTAATCTTTTGAACATATTAAACTTCAAATTTCTTAAGACTTTATTGGCCAGGTTTTCCACAAGATAGCTTTCCCATTAATCTTAAAAGCCCTCTCCCTTTCGCTTATCTATCAAGAGCATCTTATGGGTTTTTGCTTGAGTGCCGAAAATGTTAAATTGCCCTACAATAATTTGTGTGGTTTTGCTCGCAAGTTTTATTGGATAATTAAGAGGGGCGAGTTAACTTGACTCCTGCCCAGCCCTTTTTCCCTATAAGATGACTCGTGTGTGGGCGTGTTTGTCTTGCTCTTGAGCATTCTGCGGTTGTGTCTGCTTCAGACTTTGGGTATCCTACTGTCTCAGAGTGTGTGTAAGCATAAATCTTGCAAGTGGAAACTTTTTGCGGCAAGCGCAGCATAAATATTTGAAAATTAAAAGCCATCCAAGGAGCTTCATAGTTTCTGCCTGCCGAGGAAGGTCCCTTATAAAAAAAAGTTGCAGCTGCAAAAACCGAAATTTATAAAAGTTCTGAGAAAAGTAGGAGGAAAAGGAGAAGGAAAATCGACCGCCTACAAAGTCACTTATAATGGAAAACTAAGCAAATAGAGGCTGAGACTATTTTTACTGTTAGAAAAGCAAACAGTCCTCTAAGATTATTCAATATTTCCATAAGAATTCAAGAAGGTTTAAGAATATTTTATCGTAACTCTTTTAAGCATGTCAATTTTTATAGAATTCTTAAATATTTAATCTATATTTTTCCCCTTTAGTTAGGCATTTTCCGCAACCAGTAAATTCTATTAAGCCAATCCACATTTGCCCGATCTTTAATTAGCAGCCATCCATCACATGGCCAGCAGTCCAATCTGAGCCATATTAAAATTAAGCAAAATGCGTTTCCTCCCTCAAATGCTTAATTACATTCTCGATTTCCACATAGTATCGAAAGCTCGTTACGTAACAAAAAGACAGCAAGAACAATGACAGCCGAGGCAGTGGCATCGAGCAACAATAATCATATCATGAGGCATAAATCACCAAACAAATTGAATTATCATTGCGTCATTAAAAAGTCATTTCAGCCGAGGGCCCACGTTGGAAAAAGAAGTGCTTTGGAGAGGTAAAAAACAAAAACAAAATGAAAATGAAAATGAAAATAAAGGTGAAACGATATAATTATGTTGCAATATGGCGCCCTCAAGCATGACCTACGCCCACAACGGCAACAACTATACAAAAAATCAACAACAACCTCAATTACCGCCGAAGGTAGGATCACAAAACTGAGAGAGACGGAAGCATACAGTGAGACAGAGTCAGAGAATAGGTACTTAAAAGTCACAAAACGCGAGCAAAAAGCACACACACGCTCGCTTTCAGAAACCTTAATCCGCGAACACAATGAGCGCAGTTCATGTCAGAATGAAAATCGCTTTTCATTTGTTTTGGTTATTACTGTTGTTGTTTTTGGTGTTGCTTTTGTTGTTTTTTTTGTTGCTTTTGCTGCACCCAAGCGCAGTTTTTAAATGGAAATTATTTAGAGAGACAAGGGCGTGGCTTAATAAAGGGAGTCAATGAAAAGCTAATAAGTGCTCTGTATTTGAAAAAAGTTAAATGATTTTCATCCTTGAAAATAAACGGAAACAGACTTTTTTATTTGGACAAGGGAAGATCCTAAACAGGGTGTTTCTAATTCTTAACTTCTTAAAAGTACAGGGTGGCCTATGCAGCGTTTACTTGTTAAACTATCGATATTTTTGAATATCGAATGTCAACGTGTAAGATATTTAGTAAGAGGTTTGCGGTTTACGAAATGGTTGAGTTTACGCTCGATTGGAAAATTGGGAAATATTTATATGACTTATAGCGATTTTAAAACGCAAATCTTCCGTGGGCCACGGAATAATAAATTGGTTTTTAAGTTTCTGATTATTATTCGGAATATCACTAAAATTAGTTCCAAACTAAATAAAGTTTCATTTTACACTATCTTAGTTTGGCCTTCTAGATAATCCGGATTACCATAATCGATCAAATTTTAAGATTGCCTAAGCTTGGCTTAGCTAGCAGAGTGTAAAATGGTCGAACCCATGTATAATATATTTGAAAAATAAGGAACATTTATCCAAAATACAAATTTCTTAGTCTTAATAACCCTAAACCCTATCAGCTTTCTAATGTACTCACAAAGAAATACAGCTCAACGTTGTGGGTGCTCTTGGCGGCGCATATCTGGCTTCTACTCGGACAGCAGCCACTGTCCTCGCTGCAGCGGTGCAGGATGGTGCAGTGGGGCGTGTAGATCTTCGATGGATCGTGCTGGACAAGCAGACAACGTTTCTGGGGAATCCGGCAGGTGGCCTCCTTTCAGCACCTGGTTCATGTGGGCGTGGGCGAGAGCTAAAAGGTAAAAGAGTAACAGGTTAGCTATTGATGGTTGGCTAAAATAGTTTCCATTACCTCTATATTTCTTGTGCCTTAGAAAGTCCTCCCTCTTCTGGCTACGTCCATTGATATAGTTGCCGTGCAAAGTGTTTTTCACATCCTGGAATGGAAAACAAGATTGGGTATTCTTTACTAATGCTGATTGATGGCTTGGTTTTGTGTTCATTTTCATGTTCATTCCCCCATTTCTGCCTAGCCCTCATATCATCACTCACATTACGCATACGCCACCGGGGCCCCTGCCATAAAAGTCGCTCGCATTAATAAAGCCCCCATTTGTGCCGTGTGATGACAATTTGTCACCATTTTTATTGTCCATAGAGAGGCCAAAAGTAAAGGAAAAGAAGCCAAACACAGATTGAGGTAACATGCCAGTGTAACATTAACGAGAAGTTGGTACCAAGCGAAATGTGGGGCCAGCTGAAGTTCATAAACTAAGAATTCATGTGCAGGCAGACGGCGCAGAAGGCAACAGAAATATCAACAGTAGCAACAGGAATGGCAATAATAGTTTTTATACTCAGATGACAACAGAATACCCTATACTTTGATCAGTAATTATAAAAACTTTTAAAAGTTTCTGTTACGGAAAAAGCTGAAACTGGCCATTTAAAAGCTTCTGTTTGAGGAAAACCAAACTAAAAATTCTTAAAAAAATGTTATTTTCAAAACTCAAACCCAAAACATACTTCACAAAATCTCACTACCTTCACCCAAAAGCGCAGAACAATGGGCACATGAAACAAATTGGCATTCAAGGCAATAAATACGACTGCGAGAACAATAGAGAAGAAATTGTCGACATGGACATGGACATGGACATATAGCAATGCTCTGGGAAAAAAGCAGAAAATCAACCTGGTCCATGGCCATAGCGAGAACCAGAACCCAAAAAACCAGGCCCAGTCAACCACGAACTGGAAGCGAGACGGAAAGAAGTAAAAATGTTGACCAATGCGCACAATTGGCAATTTGTGAAGTTAAGCGAAATTAATGAGCTGGCTGCGGCCATAGCTCTTGCACATATACACAAAAAAAAAAAAAAAGTATTGTATATACATAAATATACAAAGATATATGGTCAGTGTTGGTAAGAGCGAAAAATCGTAAATTGTCCAAATGTGGGTGGGCCAAATGGCTAAATAAAAGGCCAGCGTTCTGGAGTCGGAGGGTCTGTTCATTAGTCACACATTGAGGATATATATATATACTATATAGAGTATATGTTTGGCTACAAGGTGCTCAAGACCAATTGGCATAAATCTTCGTCTTTGGCATTTGTGCGTTGTATTGTGTCCAGGCCCAGGCCCACACCCAGGCCCATTCTCATTTTCATTTGGGGGCTTAGCATTTCTGGTCCATTTGCTTTTGGCCGAAAACAATGGCTCTTTGATATTGGTCAATGATTTTTAGCGGTTTAACCTTGGAGGCTTATGAATGAGGCTCTCTTATTGTTGTTGTTTTCCAATACCTTAGGGGGTGAAGAGGGGTTTCGGAAAGCCTGTCAAGAATGTGGCGCTAATGCCCAAGTCCATGGCCTCTTGGCCTTTGGTTTACGGCCAGGTAGGCTTAGATTCCCATCTGCTCATTGGGCAGCGTTAGGCGTTAATGCAAGTTGATTGAAATGCTATTGCTGAGTCCCTGAGAGAAGAAAGCCATTCATCATTCAGCCTCTTCAGACAACTTTGGATAAATAATACAGAAACCATCTTAAATGTTAATCTAAAATGGGAATAAAAAGGGAAAACATTCTAGGAAAAACTTTTAAAGAAATAAAGTCTCAAATCTTACCATTAATATAAAACGAAATCTTTTTAAAAACCGAAAAAATCCCATTACGGGTGGGATAATAAATATAAAAACACTTGGAAAATCTGTAGCAACAGCTTTCCAACAGCCCAAGTGCACTACCAGCATAATTTTTATCTCATTTGTCAAATTGCAGTTGCAAAAATGATTTCGCTTGACCCGTATATTTTCCGATTTTCCCTCCATCAAAGCCTGGTGCATTGCAATTAAATTTGTGTTTTTCCAGCTTCCCTTTGCTCCTGGACTGCCCCCACTTTTCCGCCCAACTTCTGGCGACACTTCAGTCTGGCTGAGAATTTATCACCTTTCGGGTCTCTGCTCGTTTGTCAACTTTATTCAATTTTGAAAACTGCAATGGCAGCGAGCCGGAGATATGGCGTAAGGGGATCCCCCGACAGGCTGCCTTCACTTTCATCAAACTTCTGGCATTTGACGCCGTGCTGGCTGCTTATTAAAAACTCAAACGCCCCTCTAGGAGAGCTTTTCCTTTCCCCCCTTTTTCTTTGCACCACCCCTTGTTCTCCCTCGCCAGCAGGCCACTTGGCTGTCGAGTTGAGTGCTGAAATATTGCTGCCTCCGTGGGGATACCCCCATGATTCCCAGGCCATGCCTGTCTGGCTTGCTCCGTCTGCTGCCGTTTGTCATATTCCATTCCACAGTCGAGTGGCATTCTGATGGAAAGAGTGGAGGCGACACGGATGCACGGAGAGAATTCAGGGATCGGGGAGTATGGAGTTTTACTAACTAGTGAAAAGCAAGGTAGAGAAAGATATCTTTTCAGCTGCCGTTTCTCCCAGTGTAGTATCGCAAATTGGAGCAGAAGAAGTATCCTTGATATCATGTCAAAGTTGAATGCTTTTATTTATTAGCCGCATGCAAAATTGAGTCGGTGAATGTGAAAAGGTGGAAAAGTGGGTGTGGAAAGGTGCAGACAATATGAAAATTCCAGTTTGGAGTGATTTGAAAAATGTTTGAAATGAATTTTCCTTCGCCATTCGCGCTGCATACTTTCGGGGGTGTTTATGTCAAATTGCGCATACGCCGCGTGTGACGGTCGGAATTATTTTCAAATTTATTTGCATAGAAAAACCGTATAAAAGTTAGCCAGATAGAAAGCGATTTGAACTCAAAAGCGTAAAGAAAAGTTTTGCATTGAAAAGTTTGTTTTTTTGAGGGGGAAAACTGCACCCGTACGGGTATATACACTCGCAAAAATGTTTTGGTTAACTTTGGTAATTGTTGTTTACTCATTGTATGCAGCCTGCCATCTCTTTCCCTCTGTTAGGTAGCCTTCTCTTTCAGCTGACTTTTACCTGCATTTGTCTTGATGCGTTTTGTTGCATATAAATCGTATTTGTTGAACTTTATAATGGCAATGAAGTTGATGTTTTTACGAAGCAATTTGCTTCAACTTCTGTCTGCTCTCTGTCTCTTTCTTTTCATTGCTCTCTTTCTCTCTGGCTAACTGCCTTCTTGTTTGCTTCTTTTTCTCGCACACAACTTCTGGCAAATTTTCTTTTCAGGCTGCGCTCATAAATTTTTATTATGAATGCACATATTTCGCCCAGCTTCGGCTGCAATCTCTGCCGCTCTCGCTCTCTTTCCAACTGAGTGCTGCCGTCTCTTTTGCGGTGTGGCTTCTGCGTTGCAAATATGTGGCTCAGTTGGTGGCCGAGTTTGGTGCGGTTAATATGCATTTGGCAGCTATTATGGCTTTCCACCATAAATATTGCCCCCAAATATGAAAACTTGTGCGGCATAAATTAAATGGCCGAATGGCGATGGTTTTAAGTAACATTTCAATACGATTTCTAAGAAAAGATATTGCTCGCTTTATTTTACTTTATACAATTTGCGGTCTCTTTGATCATTCATAATTTAATTAAAACATTTCTCACATTTCCTTCCACGTGTGTAATTTGCTTTATACATGATTTTAACCTTATTTATGTTGAGCCTGACTCGGCATTTACGCAAATTTCCCAGGTGCCTTATTTTTCATTCAGCAACAGCAACAGCAGCAGCAGCAGCAATACTCATAAAATCCAACAAGCCGACTGTGCTGCGAAAAAGGCAGCTTAAAGTCCTTTAAGGCCAACGGCGAATGAATTATAAATGATAAACCGACTGAACGTTGGCAACCTTTAACAGCGCCACCTCTCATCTTTGGGGCCTTGAATCGTTTGCATCGAGCATGTGACCCTAGAGGGGGATATATTTTACATATGTATATTCGGTTGCACATTCGTTTATTATTTTGGCCATTTTGGCAGAGCTTTCATACGCTGACAGAGAGTTGTGCAGTTAACTGAAGGAGCTTGCTATGAAGTTTTTGGTATCTCACATGAAAGGATGAAGTGAAGGAGTGAAGGAGCTTGCTATGAAGTTTTTGGTATCTCACATGAAAGTTTATGGAATACTAGAAGTGTTATTCTTAAAGCTAAATTTACTTTGCTTTTCTTTGATATGTCGAACTAATAAGTTCCAACAAGTTATATGAGTTTTATACTTTTTTTTGAATATCTTAACTTGGATTCAGTAAGATATAAACCCTCCTTATCGCTATTTGATAAGGGAATATAGCTTAAAGGTTCTCCCCTAGAACATCAGTTTGTATTCCTTTCACGCATTTATTTTATTTCAAAAAGTTTTATATTAATTATTAAATGGCATTTATTACTACCTCACTCTCTTTCCTCCCATGTGCGTTGCTTTAACCCTGCGTCCATGCCATTAAGCATGTTAATGCTGACCACGCCCACACACATGACTATGTGGGCAGAAGGTCAATGGAGAGGAAGAGGGGATGGGGTGGTGGCCTGGTCTACCTGTCTCCCCGTCGGTTTGCTTGTCAGCTGCAGCAGCAGGCAGCAACAACAAGGTGGCCCTTTTGTTCAGCATCACAACCTGCATTGCAATGCAGCTGCTGCTGGCACCCACCCCTTCCCCCTGCCACTCCCCTTGATTATCAACGCCCCTTGCCCTCATTTTCCCCCATGTTCAAATGAAGTTTGCCGCACCTTGCTGCCTGCCATTGGGTTGTAACTGACCCTCGGCCAGGGATCCACATGCTGACCTCACCTCATTCAACAATGGACACACAGCCCTTCAGTCCCGGACCACGCCTACAATTTAATGCGCCTTTGTGGGTGAGCAAAGGGGAGAGAGAGGGGAGTGTGCGAAGGTGCAGAAAGTTAAAGAGGAGAATCGAGGGGTCCGTCCAACGGACGAAGCGGACTTTCACTTGCTCGCTTGGATGTCTATCTGTCTGTTTGACTGACAGGAATGTTT